ATTGGAGGCTATGTGTGCCTGTTTGGAGGTGGTGCAGTGAGCTGGCGCAGCAAGAAGCAGAACGAGGTGGGGCAGTCCTCGTGTGAGACAGAGTACATGGCCCTGCATCATGGGGCAAAGGAGGTGGTGTGGCTGAGGCGTTTGTTGGAGGAGATTGGAGTTGGTCAGAGGGAGCCGACAATCATGTTCTGTGACAATGAGTCGGCAGTGAAGCTTGCCAAGAACGCCTGCCTTCATGGGCTGACAACAGGCTCAAGTGGCACTGGGTGAGGAGGCTCCTGGACAAGGAGGTGCGACTGGAGATTGTGAAGACCCATCAGCAGGCGGCTGACATTCTCACCAAGCGCCTGGCTGAATCTGAGCATTGGAAGGGCATGAAGCTTGCTGGGATGAGTGTGCATTGAGGGTGCATGATTGAGCTATGGCATGTGGGATGATGGTAGGCAGCCAGAGGGGGAGTTTGTTATGTGATGCTATCACTTGCATTCACGTCTGTCTGCCTCCCATCACATGTTCGTGCGTTGCATGCGTGGTGTGAGCGTGTGCAAGAATTTGTGTTTGATGTGGTTTGGTTTTTCTGAGTGTGTGTGAATATTATTTGGCTTGAGCAGATATCTGAAGTGACTTCTCTGCTCAAGAGCTTTCCGACGAACCAAGTATCGCTTCAATTGGAGCACGAACAAGAAAGTTACGAACGTTGGAAGTTCGTATGCTTTTGATATTTGGTTGTGGTGACTATGGGAAGTTGTGGGGTTGACTCCATAAGGGGTATAGACTTTTGGGGGTTGGGAAATTCGTCAACATCACTGTAGATGCTGCCAAGTGGTTGGGAGGTGCCAAACCAGGTTGGCAAGTGTGGCCAAGTTGGGCAAGGTGGATGGCATGGGTTGGAAAGTGACAAAAGTAAAAGTGGGGTTCCTATAGGGAAGGGATTTGGTGTGCTTATGGGGTTTCCTTGGTTGGGGACTCCTTGGGGACCTTCCCTCTCGTCCTCCTCTTCCCTCCCACCTGGTTAATTGCTACTCTTACTTCCTTGTGTGGCAATTGTGAGATAATTGTGATTGAGTTAAGATTCTATGGCAGCATACCCCCTAGTGCGCCGAAATTGATAACTCAAGAAATACTTCATCTTTTCATACAATTCAACTTGGGAATTGTAGCCACGGAGTAGAGCTACAACATATCTGAGTTTGGTGAAGTTTTGACGGTGAGTTTTTCGTCGACGGCGTTTCTTGTGAGCGCGACGATTCTGTCCAGAAATTGAGAGCAACGATTTTGTGATATTTGGATCCATAATCTTCATAGACTCCGTCCCTGGTCTCTAACAAGTGTCGCTAGGTAATCGCGCGTCATCTCCTTCAGGGTATCTATGTTCTTCGCATCGCGCCAGTATTCGAGCGGGAATGAGGTATGAACCACGTCCTCGCACAAGTACCTCTCCACCTCATCGTCCGGTGCCGCCCCCTCCTCTTGCTGCCGCACTAGCCACTGCCACTCGCTGCATCAAGCGCTGAAGGTTACCCAAGAACCTCGCTTCCTCCCTGTTCTCCTCCCCCTCCTCCTCATCATCTAAGGTCCAGTCCTAGGCTGAAGGCATGGGCGCTGTCTTGGCTGCCGGTCGAGGAGTGCGCGCCTGATACTTTGCCACCCGCGCCTTTACCATCTACAACACCTCCTCCGGTCTCCTGCTCCACACCGCCCTCCCCCCTCCTGGCATCCCCTCCCACGTGTCCACCTCAAAACAGTGGAGCTTGAAGGCGGGGTCAAGGAAGGTGCAGATGACCGGCTCGTCGGTACAGCAACTGTATTAATTCTTTAGTGAAGGCAATGGTGTGGATATGAGCCGCGCCAGGAGGGGTATGGTGTTGGTCGTGAGACCATGGCAACACTCAACCAAGCCCCACTTTGCCAACATCTCCCGGAAAAGCTTCTCAATCAAGGCAGCATCGTGCGTAGTAGGCATCTCTCGGAAGTTGAAGACTGCCTGCCCCAGCTCCCACTCCTTAGTCATCAAGTGTCCCGTAAACGCAATCCATGCCTTATGGTTCTCGCTAGAACATATGTCAAGGATGAACGACACTCCAGATCCCCGCACACGTCCCCTTGAAGCCAGCTCAAGGATCGCCATGGCTTTCGCCTGCTCAGCACCCACCGCCTCGTCTCGTGCAACAGTCCATCGCGATGGAAGCATACGCTCCATCTCGCAGATCGGGTTGCATAGCGTAAGAAGCTCGCAAAACTGCCATATAGGTGGGGTTGTCCATGTGGAAAGCATGCATGCAATTAGGTGGGCAACATCCATGCAATCAGGTCTAGCATGCATGCAATCAGGTGGCGGCAGCATGCATGCAATCACGTGGCGGTAGAATGCATGCAATCAAGTGGGCAGCATGCACGCGATCAAGTGAGCATCGATCACGCAAGCGGCATTATATGAATCTATGCGCAAGTTGCAAAACACTCACTGCTGGGCGCTCTACGACTCGGAACGGAATGTCGCCCATCACCACTAACTTGGTGATGGTCTCCTGCAACGCCTCCAATGTCACGAGGGGAGTCATATATGAGCCCAGCGTGCTCTGTCCCCCCTCAACCACTCCAGTGCCAGATGTGCCGCTCTCAACCACTCCAGTGCCGGATGTGCCCGTGGGCCTAGGAATGTGAGGCCGCACTGCCACATGCTACCAGTTCTTCACCGTGCTGTCCGGGACGTCTCTATACCCCCCTTTCGGAAATGTCTCCCCTGTCTGTGCTAACCCCAAATGGCAACGACGTTTCCAAATGTTTGTGGTGTGCGGTGTGCTTCCTCTTATAATGCCTAGTCACCGACCCTGTGTGTAGTCCTGTAACGAGATGGTTTGTACACTCATCTTGCACTTCCTCTATTCGCGCTCGTCTTTCTCCTCCAACATATGAGAGGCCTGTCAACGGGAGTTGTGTGTTGGCCCCGTCCATGCTTGGGCGGAGCCGACTTCGTGGTCGGATGTGAGGGGAGCAGCCGACCTACAGCAGTGGGCGAGCTGGTTGACGAGGAGGTCGACCTGCACAAGGGCCACTGCACGGGCGCCGACTTCCTGGTGGCGCCGACTTCAGGGAGGTCGACCTGGGAAGTCGGCCTCCGGAGGACGTCAACTCGGAGGACGTCAACTTGGGGCAGCCGACTTGGGTGGTCGGCTGAAAGTACTGCTGGTCGACCTAGTGGTTGGTCGACCAGACCTGCTGGTCGACTTGCGGTGGTCGACCTGGCCTGGTGGTCGACGAAGGAGGGGCCGACGTCGACCTCGACTCAGGACGCCGAGCAGTTGGGCGTCGAGTGGCAGGGCGTCAACTCGGTGACGCCGACTTCGGGTAGCCGACTTGAGTGGTCGGCTGACAACTGCACTGGTCGACATGGAGCTGGTCGACCAGGAGTGACGTCGACCTGGAGCTGGTCGACCAGAGGTGTGGTCGACCTGGTGAGGTCGACTTGGAGGTGGCCGTCGACTTGGGAGGTCGACGGGCATGTACGGGAGTAGCTGGTCGATGTGGTTGCCAAGTCGACCAGGTTACCTGGGTGACGAACTTCTGCGGAGGAGTGCGACGGTCTCCCAGGCGAAGTTGGCGAGCCCGACCTCGGGGGTGGTATCCCGAGGTCGACATGGCGGATCAGGTGGAGTCGTCAGCACGAGGACGGCTTGGTGTGTGCGTTGTGCAGGTGACGAGACTCAGCCCGCCAATTATCTGCGAGCACCTACGAAGCGGGTGCGCTGCTGTTCTGCGGGAGCAATGCTGGCACGCTGTCAACCTGCGACGTTGGCACGCCGTCGACTTTGCACTGCTGGAGCGCGGTCGACCAAGTCGTGTTGGAACGCGGTCGACCATGCTGCGCTGGCAGTCGACCGACCTGAATGCTAGCTTTCATGTAGTCTTGCCATGCCAACTTCTTTGTACCATTGTTGTCAACTTTCTCTAGTAAAACTCTTGCCAATTTGCCCCATAAACTAGCAAGCAGTGTGTGCACTAGGAAAACGACTAAGGACCAACGAACGCAGAGATCACACGAGCACCCGTGCCTAGCCCGTAGTCTAGCTCCCGTTGCTGCAGTTATCTCCTCATGGCCTACCCAGTTAGGCATGAGCAAATGGCCAGCTAGGGTCGGGCCGGCCCGACCCGACCCGTGAATTAGGGTGGGTCGGGTTAGAGATTTCGTAAATGTGCCCCGCGCGGGTTGACCCAACCCGATCCGGGCAAAAACCCGACCCGAGAACTGAACTCGGGCAGAGTTGGGCCGGGTTTCGGGCCACGTTTGACCCGACCCGGCTCCGAGTTTAGATAGGGGAAGTCGGGTAGGGATTTTGACCCTAAACAGGTCTGATGTCTAGGGGATTTTTTTTTCCCTCGACAATTAGAACCTTCACACCCGCCAATTAGACAAAGCTCAGCCACTAATTAGTTAGTGGCACTTAAGCTAACTAATTAGTTAGTTCCAGCCCACGAAAGCACGCTATCTGACATTCCCAGCTATTATGAACGCGTTAAACTGCAGTTTAAGGAGATCGCGGTGGTGGGATAGCGTAATTCCCGATTTCGCTTTTTACTAGCGCGATTTCTCCTTAGGGGCTGCACGACATGTCCTTAGAATAGCCACTCTGCCCAGCACATAACATACGTCTATTTCGTATTGATTGTGGGGCGCCACGTGCACAGTGTAGGGGCGGCCGTGTTCACAAGTGCGGGCGCTAGCGTTTGGGCGCGTTTTCGGGCCAAGTAACATGTCGGACACTGACGGTGATCCGACAAGTAGCAGGGCCATCCCTGGAGCATCCCTCGCTGCCCTTGGCATCCCATCCTTTGAGGAGAGTTTCCAGTTGGGGTAGCTCTCCCCAGGTGCAGACGCTGCAGCCCACGAAGAGGGCATTGCGAGGAGGCGGGCTTCGGAGAAGTAACAATGGCAGCAAGCACAGGACCAGCTGCAAGCTGCTGGTCAGCAGTGTGTTGAGGAGCGTCGTGACCCGACTTGGATGCCGGGTAATGCGAATGCTGCTGCTAGTGATGGTCCCCACGTGGCGGAGCCGGGTTTGACAGAAGAGAGCACGTGTGGGTGGTCCCCACGTGGCGGAGCGGCGGCGATGGAAGGGGGGGCCGCGACGGGGCGTGGGGGGAATGCCCCGAGTGCTGCTGGAGGTGCTGGCCCTACTGCGGAGTCAGTGCCAGCCACTGCAGCGCCTGCTGCTACCGCTCCTGCTGCTCGACATGCGCATCAGCCCGCTGCTGCCGCAGGTGCTGCGCCCATTGCTGCTATGCGCGCTGTTGGTATTTCTTGGGCCTCTATCAATGCTATGAGGGAGGCCGACTAGCAGTCAACCAAGAATGATTTGGATCCTGTTGTGGAGACCGCGCTGAAAAAGGGAGAGCCAGGTTTAATGTGTGGCATGTTTGGTCCGATATTGAATGGTCAGCGGCAATGCTTGATGTGCAGCAAAGAGTTGAAATGGGGTTAGGGTAACACGAGTGCGGGGGGGGGGGGGGGGGGGCATTACACAAACAAGCATTATCCTAGCGTTCAGACCTGGGTTCGTCGCTTCATGGACCCGAACAAGTCCGAGGGGCTTGTTTTCCCCGATGGGGGTGGGGTCCTACGGTACCCGATAGGACCAAGTGGCCTTGGGAGAATGCTGATACGTGGCCCGGTATTCCAGCAGCCGGGGAGGGGGCCGTTCTGAGTGGGTTGAGCGGAGCCGCTGTCAGCACTGCATCTTGCTCCTAGCATTCGTTCCTAGCTACTGTTTTAGCGTTCGACGCAGAGGGGCGCCCTATTGGGTTTGAGTCCTGGCTGGAGGAACTAACACTGTACCTGCAGAGCGTCACCAGGGACGACGTCTCGTAATTCGAGCACACGTCGGGGTCCCTCAAAGGCCCCATTGACTCCAATTGAGCCTCCCCCTGCTGTTGCGGAGGATGTGTAGAAGAATTACCGGACTGACCTTGCTGCCTGCACGCAGTGGACGGCGCGCGACGCAGCTGAAGTCGGCCCAGGCCTTCTTTGCTTCTCTAGTCAAGCGCTACTCCTCCTCCTCCTCTGCCACCCTAGGCAGTCTTGCGCTGCCAATTCTCTTCCCTGAGCTGTCAGACTTCATCAGTGTAGCTGAGCTGGTTACCCATCTGCGCCCTTGACACTCGCTACCGTGCTGCTCTCCCTTCCGAGTTTCTAAAAGTAAACTAGGCCCCTTATGTACCTCACTCTGTTCTTCCTAGTGACTCGCCTCCCTGACACCCTTCGTGCTGCTCGCGACTACTTCCTCTCCCTAGACCCCACTAGTCTCACCCTTGACTCGTTTGAGACTCGTCTCCTTGAGACTGGGACCAGTGTCCGCGCTGTCGCTGCCTCCCGTGGCACCCCCTTCACCTCGTTTTTTTAGGGCTGCACACCCTCTCTTCTGGCGTCCTCGGTTGCCTCTGCTGCTGCTATTGACTTCCTCGGTGCTGAGGAGGCCGGAGTGTCAACGAGTGAACGGAATACTGAATGAGTAGAAACAAGCAACACAGGAGAGCATATAGCAAACCCTAAGGGGGTTATACCCTCTACAGCATAACTCAGTGTAACACTGAGACTAAACTAACAAACTATAACATTTATAGTTTGACACACCCCCATAGTCTAGGTAACGGTAGTCCTATGGAAAGCAACACACAACCCAAGAGCAAGAACAAGCAATGGTCACAAGACCAGTTCACAAGAACAAAGCAACTCTCGGGGTGGATCTCAAGATCACCACACAGTCCGAGAACAAGCAAGTGGCCACAAGGCCAGTCCACATGCAAGTATATAGCAGATATAAGAGATGCAAGAGTACAAACATGCATGACAAGCATCCCTACATAAGCAAAGGGCCACAAGGCCTGTCAACAAGCACAGATATTGGATATATAGTGAGATGCAAGAGTACAAGACAAAACATCTCTACACAAGCAAGTGAGGGCCTGTAGACACAAGGCCAAACTGGGGGCAAAAAAGCTGGTGGTCACAAGGCGGCAACGCCTTGGTGAAGATATCTGCACTGTTGGCCTCTGAGACCACACGTTGCACGAGTGCCTGACTACGCTGCTGCAACTCTCGCATAAGGAAGTAACGAAGCTGAATATGCTTCGCCGTCCCAACCAGTCGGGGCTCCTCGCACAACAACTGTTGTCGTCGAAAAATACTGGGGGAGCGCGAGGCTGCTCACCAAGGTCGGTGAGGAAGAAAGACATGGCCGCAGCGTACACCTCTGCCTCACAGCTGGAACTAGAGACGAACGACGCCCGAGTCGACCTCCACGAAACAGCTCCAGTCCTAAGGCTGAAGCAGTATCCCTGTGTAGACCGCAGCGACTCTGTGTCGTCAGCCCACAACGAGTCCGAGAAACTTGTAAGTGTAACTAGCTGCATCCCTCCAAGGACAAGTCCCATGCCTGATGTACTCGCCACATGCTTCGCCACCCTCTTAGCAGCGTACCATTTGGAAGGTCGGTGTCTCCCAGGCGTAACAAAGCGCGCAAGGACGCTAAGAGGGTAAGCTAGGTCTGGGCGAGTACAGGTCATCACGTTCATGAGACAACCCACAAGCTCAAGATATGGACCACTGGACTCAAATGGATCGTCCGAAGGTGGAGCCATGAGCCCATGGTCCACAGCAAGAGGGGTGAGCTGTACCTTGGAGAACAGGAAGTGGAACCGCATGAGGATCTGCTCAACCATATACGATTGCGTCAGCGTAATGGTGCGAGCTGCCCTGTCCCTAGTGATCTGCAAGCCAAGGTAGTGCTGCAGCTTACCAAGGTCAGTGCAAGTGTGTCTCCTCTACAGTTCCTCCTTCACAGAGGCCAGTGCGTGTCGTTTGGGAGTGGCGAAGACCAGGTCGTCGACGTAGACCAGTACAAAGAACGGGGTAGAGCTGCAGCGGACGAATAGCGACGGGTCAGCAGATGACAGAAAGAAGTCAAGCGCTGCAAGTGTCGTGCCAAGTGTTTCGTGCCACTCACGGGGAGCCTGTCGCAGGCCGTAGACCGGTCGACGTAGCTGCCACTGGGTCCCAGGTGGGAAAGAGCTAGTGGAGCCAGGCGGACGGCGCAGCAAGATTTGCTCGTGTAGGCTCCCCTAAAGGAACGCTCTGAAGAAGTCCAAGGAGTGTAACTCGTAGTCGCGCTGAGCTGCGATATGCAGCAACACCCGAAGAGTGGTCATCTTCAGGGTGGGAGCGAAGGTCGGGAAAAAGTCTACCCCCTCGCGCTGACTGAAGCCTCTCACCACATAGCGGGCCTTGAACACCGGTGGTGATCCAGGCAGCCGCTTCACCTTGTAGAGCCACATGCCACTGACAACGTTCGTCCCAAATGGTGGGACGGCGTCGACGTAGGTGCCTGTGGACCTAAGATGCCATCTCTGCCTCCTCAGCTGCTATCTAGTACAAAGCCCAGGGTCCCGAGACCGCCTCGGCGTGAGTGCGAGGAATCGGGATGTCAAGGGCGTCTAGACCCCTCAGGGGCAAGCAGCATGGCGCAGAGATGAAGAACAGCGGCGGCCAGAAAACCAAGCTCGAACTGCCTATCCTCTAGGACCTCCAGGGGAAAAATAGGGACACCCCTAGTAGACGGAAAATGAGCAGCACCGCTCACCAGGTGGGAGGCGTAGTCAAGGCGGTGGGAAGAGGCAAAGCTAGCGAGAGTAGTAAAAAGAGCTGAGACAAACAACAGAGGGGCAATCGGATGAGTGATCAACGTGGACAGAACACGAGAGACGACAAGACGGGAGGCACGGAGGTAGTCGGACAATGGGTCATGAAACACAGTGAGGGACGACTCAGGAGGCTGTGGAAGGACAGGAAAAGGTGGAACACGAGAATGAAGTACAAGGTGAAACGGACAGTCAGCACGGTAACGAGACTGACGAGGCTCTGGAGACACAGCATGACCGAGGGGAGAACGACGAGTCCACAGGGACGAGGCAAGGGACTCAACAGGCGGAACAGGAGGAGATGGTAGAGGACCACGGACCAGACATGTAGGTGCCGGGTCGGGCAGGTCTCTCAGTCGCTGCTGCTCCGCCTCCCCCGACGTCGCTGCGGCGGCGCCTGCCCTTGCTGCTGCTCCTCCTGCTCCAGGTGTGGCTCCTCCTCTACTCTCTTCTGCGGCGGCTGCAACTGCACCTGCTGCTGCGGCTGTGACTCCTCCTCGACCCTCTCCTATTGCGGCTGCAGTTGCAACTGCTACTGTGGCCGTAACTCCTCTACCCTCTCCTGCTGCGGTGGCCACTGCACCTGCTCATGCGGCCGGGACTCCTCTACTCTCTCCTAGTGTGGCTGCAACTGCACCTGCTGCTGCGGTCGTAACTCCTCTACCCTCTCCTGCCGCGGTCGCAACTGCTCCTGCTGCTGCGGCTGGGACTCCTCCTCTACTCTCTCCTGGTGTGGGGGCAACTGAACCTAGTGCTTTGGCCGTAACTCCTCTACCCTCTCCTGCTGCAGTCGCAACTGCACCTGCTGCAGCGGCCGGGACTCCTCCTCTACTCCCAGACACGACAAGAATTGGATGCTGCAGGGGAGAGGACCACGAAGTGACATGCGACACACCTGACGGGGCAGGATGCGAAAGGAGGGGGGCTACCGGGGCGACTGTGCGGGGCTCAGTGGTGAGGAACAATTCCTCACCACTGAATAACTGCTCCTGGGAACTGAAGAACTGAAGAACTGCCAGGTAACCAGGTCGTAGAACTGCCAGCCGGAGGTGTCGAGTGGGAAGCCAAGAAAGACGCAGGCACGGGTACGCGGAGACAACTTGTTCACGCCAGGGGCACGAACGTGGGCCAGGGAACCCCAGACATGGTAGTCAGCTGCTGCACATGGAGAACCTGTCCAAAGGGAGACCGGCGTCACCCGTGGCCGTGCGTCACTAGGCCACAGGTTTAGCTGGTGCCCGACGTAGCGGACTGCCTGAGGCCACAGAAACTTGGGGGCACCGGCATGGCACATGGAGGTCCAGGCAACCTCCATGACCAGGCCAATGCATCGCTCGGCTACCCCGTTCTGCTGCGGCGGCGTGTAAGACTGGATGATCCCCCGACCCTGACAGAACGTCTCTAGGCGAGTGGAAGAAAACTCACCACCACGGTCCGAGTGCAGGCGAAGCCCACAAAGGGCCTGGGCGTCACCCCTCGCTAGTAGCTACGGCTCAAGGACGGTAGGCACGTCGGCCTTCCGTCGCAAGGGGAAAACCGTGCTGTAGCGGGACGCTCACGGTGGAGATCGTCGAGTCGGGATGCAGAGTTGTCAGGACTCCAGCAGGTGGTGCTAGAACCCGGGCCAGTCAGGATCTGGTACCCGCAGGGACCGACGTCGCGCCCACTACCGGCTGAGCCACTGCAGGGGGCCCTACTGCCGAAAGTGCTGTGGCTGGCCCTGCTGCTGTAGACCCCTAGTACACGCCATGGGAGGAGCTAGAGACGGGAGGGGTGCGCTCGCGATAGTCTAAGCTGCTGCTGGGGGGGGGCAGCCTAAGCTGCTACTGGTTCTGCTGGGGGCAGCTATGCTGCTGCTGGTTCTGCTTGGGGTAGCCTAAGCCGTTGCTGGTGCGCTGGGGGCAGCCTAATCTGCTACTGGTTCTGCTGGGGGCAGCCTAAGCTGCTGCTGGTGCGCTGGCGGTAGCCTAAGCTGCTGCTGGTGCGCTGGGGGCAGACTGGGCTGCTTCTG